TGTGTGTGTGTGTGTGTGTGTGTGTGTGTGTGTGTGTGTGTGTGTGTGTGACAAAAAGTTCAAGAAAGTCTCCAGAACAGAGCACCAAGACTCGATGGGGTTCAGCTGGAGTGAGGTCTCATTCTTGACTCCCACTGCTGCCCACTGCCCTTCCTTTCATGGAGGCTCTGCAGGAACCAAGCTGGACAAGACCACAAGGTTATGCTTCCCACCCCATCCCTCCTGTACCTTCTGCAATTTTCTGGCAAAATCCGGCAAACTTGGATTTATCGAAGTTTCTATAGATGTGGTTGAGGAGTCCCATTCGGTCAGACTCCTGAGGGCACAGAAAGGTGTTCAGATGGTCATTAGAAAGGAGAAAGCTTTCCCAGGCAGCCTCCAGTGAACTTCACCCCAACTCCATCACAAAGAGTGGCAGCTGTGTGGTTTGAAGACAACTGGAGGGATGACTGGTCTTCATCATGGAAATTCTAGGACACCTGGGAATTGTGTTGTCAAAGGATGTGGAGCTCAAAGTGACCTTAACAGAATCAGAACCACAGAATTGCCAGAGGATGGACCTGAGGGTCATCCAGTCCAATCCCCTCATTTTACAAATAAGTCAACTAAACCTTACAGAGGAAAGGACCTGTCCCAGGCCACAAAATCTCCTCCTAGAGCCAGGACTAGATCAGGTCTCCAGACATTCACTCCAGGGCACTTTTCACACTAGTCTCCATCTCTAACCGCTTCTGCCTTTTTCCTAACCAGTAACCCTAAGACTTTATCCTGAAACCACAGACAATCTAGAGTCTAGACCAAAGCCTTCGTTTTACAAGGGAAGAAAACCAAGGCCTAGAAAGAAGCTTTGAATTGCAGATGGTCATACCCCAAACACAGGTCCCTGAACTTTCAGTCCAAGATTTTGTCCCCACCTGCACTGAAGAATTAAATAATAAAAAAAGAAAACCAAATCACAATAATATCAAAAATGAAAAGGGTGAATATACCACTAATGAAGATGAAATCGAAGCAATTGTTAAGAGTTATTTTTGCTCAATGATATTCCAGTAAATTTGACAATTTCAATGAAATGGAATAATAAATTACAAAAAGATCTGTTAATGCCTACATTAACAGAAGAGGAAATAGAATTTCTAAATAAGCCTATTTAAGAAAAATAAATTGAATAGGCCATAAATGAACTTTCTAAAAAAAAGCATCAGGACCAGATGGATTTGTAAGTGAATTCTACTAAACATTTAAAGATGAACTAATTCCAATATTAAATTATTTAGAATGATAGGCAAAGAAGGAATCCTACCAAACTCCTTTTTTGAAACAAATATGGTGCTGATACCTAAACCAGGAAGAGCAAAAACAGAGAAAGAAAATTATAAACCAACTTCACTAACGACTATGGCAGCAAAAATCCTAAATAAAATACTAGGTAGGACATTACAGCAATATATCAGAAAGATTATACATTGTGACCAAGTGAGATTTATACCAGAAATACAGCGATGGGTTAACGTAAGGACTATTGGCATAATTGATTATATCAATAACAAAAGTAACAAAAATCATATGATGTCTATAAATGAAGAAAAATCTTTTGACAAAATACAATACTCCTTATTAAGAACACTTGAAAGGATAGGTATAAATGGATTGTTCCTTAAAATGATAAGAAAAGCATCTGCCTAAAACGGGTGGGGAACCTGTGGCCTTCTAGGTCCTCAAGTGTGGCCTTTTGACTGCATCCAAATTTTACAGAACAAATTTGTTGACTGGAGGAGGACTAATGTTCCAATTTCAAAAAAAGAAGAAGAAGAGAAGAGTGCAAACTTTAGATCAGTGAGCTTGACTTTGATTCCTGGGAAAATTTTAGACTAGATTATTAAAGGGATGGTTGGTGAACATCTAGAAAGGGAAGCAGTGATTGCAAGAGCCAGCAGGGGCTTCACTGAGAGCGGGTCATGCCAGACTAACTCTTAACCTCTGTTTACCTTAGTTTCCTTATCTGTAAAATGGGGGAGTTGGACTCAGTGGCACCTGAGCTCATGGCCCCTGACCTCGTCACACCCACAGACCCGTGAGGTGGCCTTGCTCACCCATCCTTCTAGGCGACCAGGTTTGTAATCTCACATTATCCCAGACTCCTCACTCTTTCTTGCTCCATTTATCCAGTCTCTTGCTGCATGTGTGTATATGGGTATCTTGCTCCCCAGAGTAGACATCCTTCCCTTCCTTCTAACCAAGGCAGGTGTGGGGAAGGTGCTCCTCTCCCTACCGCCACCTTTTCTCCTTCCCCTCCACGGCACCCAGCCTGGGACAGATGGGGACTTTGGGGAGGAGGGACCTACCTGAAAGTAGTCAAACATGGCTTTTTTGACGTAGTCTATCTTATGTGGAGACACCTCCAGGTTGTCCATGGTGTCAAAAACTGTCTTCACTGCCAGATGTGCCATCCAGTAGGCTGTGGAAGAAATGGGTGAGGTCAGGTCTGGAAGGGAGATGCCTCCTCTGAGGCCCAGAGGGTCAGTAGGTCACACAGCAAGGGAGTGTGAGGGCTAGACACCACAGGTCTGGGCCCCCCAACCCAAGGCTCTGTTGCCACACTTAAGTCAGAACTGGGTGCGGTGCAAAGGCCTGTGGCTTCAGACCCAGTGGATCAGGGTTCAGAACTGGCACCTTCTACCTCTGCCACCTCAGGCACGTTACTTCCCCTCCCTGGGGCTCAGTTTCCTCATCTGTAAAATGAGATGGTTGGATTAGATGATCTCTGAGGGCCCTTCCACCTAAAACCCTAAGATCCCACCTCCACCTGGGACCTGGGGGAAGGTGTTCATCATCTCCAGAGTAGTTGGATTCTGGGGACTCTGCCGTCCTCTGGTATCCACTCAGAGACGAGCTAGAGTCTGGAGACCTGGAGGGTTGATGAAGGAACTGGGAGGTTTAGTCTGGAGGGGAGAAGACTCAGGTGGGGAGCGATCGATGCATTTAAGCATCTGAAGGGTCCTAAAGAACACTCAGACTTGTTCTGTGGGCCCCACCATGCAGAACAAGCCTCGATGGGCCACCTGGGTGGGGAGTGGGTTCTCCCTCGCTGGAGGTAAAGGTAGAATGACCACTTGTTGGGAATGTCATGGGGGATTCCCAGAGGTAGGCAGCTAGGTGGGTCAGGGGAGAGAGCTCTGGACTTGGAGTCAGGAAGACCAGAATTCAAATCCATGACCCTCTAGTCTAGAGGCCAGCTTGAGGGCATTGGGCAGGCAGAGATACAGCTGATGTCCCGGCCATTGCCCATTCTCACCAGAGCCTTCATCACCCATGATGTGTCCCCAGCCACCACATCCTTGCTCAGAGCCATTTGGGTTGATTAGTTTGCAGTTGGAGCCTGTCCCGGAAATGAGCACCACTCCACCTGAAGGGAGAGAGGGCATGGCTCAGTAATTTTCCAATGGCAGAGACACAGTTAAATGCCTGTTTTCTACAGCCTAGAGGATCTGGGGCAGGAATCTTACTCTTCAGTTGAAGATTGTTTCCAGATCCCTGTTGAGGCTAATGAAGTACATACTCCAGGAAAGACCTTATTTTGTGGGGTCCTTTCTCCCTTGAGTGAGGACTGTGTATGGAAAAGAAACGGCTGTAATCTGAACCCTGGATTTCCCAGCCAGTAGCCTGGCTGCCCGGCAAGGGGCCGTACCATCTGGTTAGCCTCCAGATCTCCTTTCTCTTCCCACTTCTTTACAAAAACCCTAACGTGGACATACTCTGCTCTAACGTTTAACTCTGTTACTTTGACCACCCTTGTGGGGACACTTCTCCGCTTCTACAGCATAGTTCTTAGCCTAGAGTCCATGAATTTATTGTTTTTGTTTATGTTTTTAATATTTTGATACCTGTATTTCAATATAATTATTTTATATATTTTTTTTATTTTATGCATTTAAAAATATGATTCTGAGAAGGGGTCCATGACACAAGAAAACTTCTTGAACCCTTGCTCTAGAGGGTCCCTAACTTTGGACCCATCCCCAACATTTTTTCCCCTTCATCAAAATATGCCTCCTTCCTGCTCTGGGCTACCTGGAGTGGGACAGAAGGTAAAATCAAAGGGTCAGTTCAGAGGATATCTAGAGTGAAGCTTAGGAGCTAAGGAAGTTGGTACCAGCTATCTGCAGAGAATGTCTCCTCCTCCAGGGAGCCCTCCACTGTCCCTAGCCGAGGCAGCCGGAAGTCCTGACGGGAGCCCTGTAAGCGAGGCCGGTCTTACCTTTGGCTGTGGCTGTGGCAATGGACCCCGCTGCATCCGTAGAGATGAAGTAACTGTCACTCAGGTCAGGATAGAGGCTTTGCAACCGCTCAGTCAAGGAGGACACTGCAGTGCTCTGTTCCGCCCCACTCAGGGTCAGGCCCTGCCATTTGGAGAAGGTCAGAGTTCAGGGATGATCTCTAACTCTGCTCAAGACCCATCAGTAGATCCCCAGTCTTCAGGGTCACATGCACCCTCTTTCTCCTAGAACTCGGGAGTCTTCTACCATCTGGCTCCAGCTAGCCTTTGCACCCTTATCTTCATCCAGACCCCCCTCCAGCCAAGCCAGTCTCCCCACCATCCTCTAATTGTGCTAGCCTTTGAGTCAGGAAGACCTGTGTTCACGCTTTGCTTCTGGAACATACAATGGGACATGGGGAAATGACTCATTTTTGTTTTTTTAAATCCAAAGAATAAAAAAACAAAATCCCCAGCACCTAACGCAGGGCCTGGCAACAGTAGGCCCTTAATAAATTCATACCGAATTGAAGTCAGGAGGGGGACCTTGTTTTGGGGAGATGATAATAGTCGTGGTTTGGGACCTGTTGAGATTGGAATGCTAGCGAAACATGGAGGCAGTGTGATACCCTAGAAGAAGTGATGGATTTAAAATCAAGGTTCAAACAGGATCCCTTAACACTATTAGCTGTGTGACCTTGGGCAAATCACCTCTGTGGACCTCAGTTTTCTCTTTTGTTTTGGAGGCAGCTGGGGTTAAGTGACTTGCCCAGGGTCACACAGCTGGTAAGTATCTGAGGCCACATTTGAACTCAAGTCCCCCTGACTCCAGGGTCAGTGCTCTGTCCACTTTATCTAGCTGCCCCAACCTCAGTTTTCTCAACTGTTAAATGAGAGGGTCAAACTAAAACACAGCCATGCTTTCTTGCCCTGTTATCTGCTTGTTTATCCCCTACTGGTGACCTGGGGGACTCTAGGGGTGTTCTCAGTCCTGTATTTTCGCTCTGACACCCGGTGTTGATTCCTAGCTCTTAATTTCCCAGATCCCCCCTCTGGCTTCTGCCCCAGACTCACCAGGCTGCGCAGCGGTTCATTGAGCTTGACCCCAGCTTTCTTCTTGGCCTCATTCACCATGCCATTGATCCTTTCTGCACATGCATCCAGCCCAATCAGCTGGTGCCGGGAGAGAAAAGGAGGTAAATGGGCTTTGGACCATCCCACGTCCCACCTCCCTCCCCCTTCCCAACTCTCCTTTCCAGAGCCTTTTCCCACGCCACAGAAAGCTATGGTTAGCGATGCGCAGGGGAGAACCAAGCAACCCCAAATCCACCCCATCCTCAAGTCTGTCTTACCCACTGGTTGGTGCTCGGTCCATCAGCTTCTGCTACAACCTTGCCTTTTTTATTCAGCAGCAGGACCTTGGAGTGGGTGGCCCCCCTAGGGAATAGCCCAAACTCAGTCCCAACTCTGGTCTGATGGCAGAGAAACAGCCCCCGCCCTCAGGAAGCCCCTCGTCTGGTGAGGAAGATACCATCCTAACTCCTCTTCATCAAATCCTACCCATCTATCCTTTCTTCCATGGGGACTTTCTCCTCTGAGAGGTAATCTCAGACTGCAGGGCACCAGGCCTGTGGCTTTATTGATGTAGGGAAGTCCCAGTGAATAAATTCCCCATGCAGATCATGAACTACTTATCTTAAGGAATTAGTTGGCATTACACGGCCAGGGTACCCAGGTCTCTCTGGCTCCAAGGCCTGCTCTCTGTCCACCAGACCACAGCTGCCTCTGCTAACAGTAGCTGGCCTTTATGGAGAACTCTCCCGAAGACCCTATTCCAGCTTCCCACCTCAGCTAGTTAAATGCCCGTAGGCCCCTGGGCAAACCACTTCTCCAACTCCACTTAGAGATTGGTGATTAGATTCTGATCAAGGCCACGGCTCAACTTGGGTAAGCAAGTCACAGACCTGGAGCAGCCTCAGTTCCCCGCCTCCCTGTGAAAAAAGGACTATCGCCTCCAGGGACACAGCCACAGAGTCTAAAGGGGTCTTAGATATCATCTCCTTCCATCTCTTCATTTTGCAAATGAGGAAGTCCCATGCCCAAAGGCCATACTGTTAGCCAATAGCAAAGAAGGAACTGAAACCCCAGTGGCTGGCTCCCAACATGGTGTTCTTAAGATCAAGCTGCCCCTGAAGAAGCAATGTGGCATGGCGTGCCAGACTGGATGTAAATGGCCACTGGTTCAAATCTAATGCGGTGTGACCTTGGGTGGGCTGGTGTCAAAGGGGGTTGGTCCACATGACTCCCAGGGCCCTATAATCCAACAAGATAGAAGTATAAAACTCTGGGACACAGTAATACACACAGAGCCAGGTTAGACTATCCATACCTAATCATTTTACCCATTGTACTTGGGATCAGGAGGGACCCAGGATCGAATCCTGCCTCTGACAATGGCTAGCTGTGTGACCTTTCTTATCTTTGCCCGTGTGCCCAGAATGCACTCACCTCCACCTCTTAGAACACCGCCTTCTACTTAAAGTGTTCCTGATGCCCCAGGTGGTATTTTTCTGTCCCCGATTCAATCAGTCATTCCATTTTTTACTTTGTAAACACTTTTATCAGCTCATCTGTGTACTTTCTCTCTTCCCCAATCAAACGTAAGCTGCTCCATTTTTAACTCTGTATCCCCAGAATCTAATTCAGTATCTGGTACATAGTAGGAACTAATTAATTAATGTTAATGGAATTGAATAAATGCTTGTTAAATTAATAGACTGTTACACCCATCCTGGCAAGAAGGGAGGAGAGGCTTGGGCCAGGCTAGCAGCATCAGTAACAAAGAGCCTATGGGGCTCAGTGAGTGATTAAATAAAGAATCAACAGGTGCACATGATTCTCCTATCTATTTATCCAGCTCCAACCTCTCTGCTGATCTGCAGTCTCGAATCTCCAACTGCCTTTTTGGACATCTCCCTAACTGGCAGACATCTGAAACTCAACATTTTCCCCCTAAATCATCGAGCTCTTCTTTCTTCCCTGGTACCAAAGGGTACCAGCCTCTGGTGCCCCTGGACCCCTATCTCTCACACCCCCATATCCAGTCTGCTGCCTTTGCAGCATCTCATCTTTTCTCCTCTGACACTGCCCCCACTCTGGACCATTCCCCTCATCACCTCATGCCTGGACTACTGCAACAGCCTGCAGGTGGGTCTGTCTGCCTCAAGTGTTCCCATCCATCCTCCACTCAGATGTCAATAGATCTTTCTAAAGTGCAGTTTTGACCACATCGCCCCCATATTTAATAAATTCCAGGATCCAATATAAAATCATGTTTAGCATTTTTTCTTAGGCCCTTCATAACCTGGCTTGCCCCTCCCTACCTTTCCCGTCTTCTTGCTCTGGAAGTGACTCCATGCGCTCTGAGTCAGTAACATTGGCCTCCTGCCTCTTCCTCACATAACACACGTATCTCTCCACTCCCGGTTCTTCCCTGGAACGCTCTCCCTTCTCATCTCTGCCTCCTCTCGGGTAAAATCCCCTCACTCGTTATTTCCTCCTAACTTAGGATCGGTGCCTTCCTTCATTCAGAATGCCTTCCAGTTCATCCGGTCTATCTTTTGTTTGCATAGAGATATTACTAGGTTATCTCCCCCATTACAAAGTGAGCTCTCGGAGGGCAGGGACCGTTTTTGGCTTTTCGAATACCAGGTGCTCAATCAAAACCTGGATGTTGAAGGAGGGGAGAGGAGGGAGAAGGGTGATTACGAGGCTCGCAGGCCAGGGGCACAGCGATTAAGGTAGCTGGAAGCTCAAGAGTCAGGTTCAAGTCCGGACTCGGACACTTCCTAGCCGTCTGACCCCGGCGGGTCGCTTTAATTCTCTCAGCCTCAGTTTCCCTCTCTGTCAAGCGAAGGGGCTGAACGATCGTTTCCAACTCCGAGTCTGCGACCCTGCGGGTCACGGTCCCCCGCTCCCTCTCGCACCCCCCACCATCACGGACACAGACGGACACACCTTGCTGCACCTGGAGCAGCGGAGCCCGGGGGCGCGCGGGCGCCCAGCACACCTCCGCTTACTTGGGAGGCGGCAGCCCCCCGGGGCCGGGGTCCGCGCCCTCGGGGCCCCCAGCCCCAGCCCCAGCCCAGGCACTCACCCCTCCACGCCCCCGAACAGCTCCATGGGGGGCTTCCGTTGCGCCGCGCGCCGACCCTCGCCGCTGGCTCCCGACCGCCCGGCGCCCGCGAACCCTCTGCCGGGCTCGGCCGGAGCCCGCCCACGTCCAGCTCAGGCCGGCCCGTCATGTGACGCCCTCATTGTCTTTCCACCAGTATTTCCGCAAAGCCGGGGAGGGCGGAGCGCCGGGGTCCAGCCCCTAGGAGGAGCGAGCCCGTGACGTGGAGCGTGTCTGAGTGTGTCTGTGAGTGGGAGGGTCTGGAGCCCTGGAGTGGCCGGGGGTCTCCAGCCTCGGGGCAGACCACTGCCCCCGGGGGGTCCCGTTCTGATGCTTCTGGGTCCAGCTGCAGCCTCAAGTCCCTTCCAATGTGAACGGGCTGTGGTCTGCGGGGTGTGCGGTGGGGGGTAGGGGGGGGACCCCGGGCGGGGGCAGGGCCGAGGGAGGGGCCGTCTGAGCATCTCTGGAGGTGTCGGCGGAGTGGGAGTGCGTGCCTCGCCAAGGGTGCTAGTGATGGGGTCTGACTGTGCTTTGAGCTGGGAGTCAGGCTGCACGTGAATGTGCGTGCGCGTGTGTCTGTGTGTGTCTGTGTCCGTGTGTACGTACATGTGTACCAGTGTGAGCCAGCGACAGAGTTTGGAAAGGGAGCGCCGTCCCTGTTGCTCCGCCTCAGCGCCCTCCTGCCTTGGGTTGGGGGCGGTCCGGGGTCTTCCTCCTCTTCCCTTTCTCAGAAACTAGTGGAGAAAGAGGAAAGACTACGTGGTCTGGAGGCGCCGCCGAGCAGCCAGGAGGGGGCCCCCCAGATCAGCGAGTGGCTTTCCACCCGTGTACTTTCCCTTCCAAGAATTGACAACAGGCAGAGAAGGAAGGGTCCCTGCTCAGACCCTGCCACCAAATGCCCTTCAGATACGCCATTGCGCTCTCCACGTCTGTCCCATCACACTGCCCACCCCAACATATGCATATGTTAACCTGGATCCAAGGGGGTGACTTCTATGAAGGTACCCGTGCACACAAAGAAAGGCATCCATTCATTTCCCCACAGAAAGAAACCAGCACAGACTGGAGGGTGAAAATCATACATCAGTAGGATTGGAGACTGAGAGCTGGAAGAGCCCTCACAATGCCAAACACTTCGTTTTACACAAGAGGAAATTACAGCCAGAAAGGGGAAGGAAGGCATTGTCCAAAGGTCACACAAGCAGCCTAGATGGATTTGAAGCCAGCTTTCCCACTGTAGACTTCCAGGATCCTGCCATTTCTAAGAAAGAGTGTTTCGCTTATTTTTCACTGTTAAAAGAAAAGGAGCTGGGGGAGATGATCTCTGAAGTGGGCTCTAGCTCTTCGAAGCCTTTGTCCAGACACTTAACTGACGCCCAGTTGCACAGCACCTATCCACACAAAGACACAGCAGGCTCACAGCCACATACACAGACTTAGAGAAATATACAGAGCCTGTCTGCATGCCCCACAGACATAGAGGTGCCTGTGGATGGTGATGAGGGATTGTTTCCTTCCTCCCTAAGTAGGCCTTCCCCTAGGTGTCAGGAAGTAAAAACAAGGACCATTCTTGCAATTAGGTAATGATCAGCCTCCTCATTTCTATTTTCCTTACTGCCTCCCCAAAAGACCACCTAGAGTTCTGTTATATTGCTTTCAGCTGCTAGAAGCAGCTGGTAGAGTGGATAAAGCCTTGGATTTGAAGCCAGGAAGACCTCGGTTCAAATGTAAGCTCAGAAGATGGATTTGGAATCACAGGACCTTGGTTCCAGTCCCATGACTATCCTAGGTAAGTCACCGAACTCTCTGGCCTCAGTTTCCTCACCTGTAAAATGAAGGGGCTGGACTCAATGACCCATCTACTGGAAACTCCTGTTTATATCAAAGCATTAAAAGTCACATAGGATCTCCTAGTTAAAAACAAAACAAAAACAAGCAAGAACCATCTATTTAAAATATTAAGGGGGCAGATAGAGCTCCGGCCTTGGAGTCAGGAGGACCTGAGTTCAAATCTGCCCTCAGACACTTGACACTTACTAGCTGTGTGACCCTGGGCAAGTCACTTAACCCCCGACTGCCTCACCAAAAAGCAAAAAAATAAAGTGTTAAGCAATAGGATATCATGGAAATGCACCTGCTTGTAATACCTGTAACCTCCAGTGAGTTGGTCCCAATCCCCTGCCCTATCAACTGAGGACTATGAACCCAGTTCATTCTGGGATCCAGCCTCTATCCAGGGATCATTGCAAGGTTAACTTGCCGGTTGCAGGGAGCCCCAGCCCAGCCATGCCTCTGCCCCCCAAGCTGGCCGAGCTGGAGCAGCAGTGGCACTGGCAGGACGAGCAGCAGCGGTATCAGCTACAGCACCTCGAGTCCTTTTATGAAAAACCTCCTCCTGGACTTATCAGGGAAGATGAGACCAAGCCGGGAGACTGTGTATCAGATGTACCAGGCAATGAACATGGCAGAGAATTTCTGACTCATGCTCCAACAAAAGGTCTCTGGATGCCCCTGGGGATAGAAGTCAAAGTTATGCAATGCTGGCGCTGTGAACGTCATGGACAAAGAACAGGGGATGAAGAATGCCCATTCTTTATCAAAGGCAATCAGAAATTAGAACAATTCAGAGTAGACACAACAGCTAGAGAAGCTGCTAGAGGATTCTGCCTCGGATGAAGATGGCAGTACTTCTGGCTCCTCAGAATGTAAGGAGAAGCGTAAGAGAAAGAAGAAGGAGAAACATAAGAAGAGGAAAAAAGAGGAAAAAGAAAAAGGAAAAAGCATAAATCTAAGTCAAATGAGAGTTCAGACTCTGACTGAGAAGTAATTTTCTTTGAGTCTGCCTCATTACTCCAGAATCACAGCTGAATGTCGGAGATCCTAAAGAAGTAGCCACAGAAGGGCCTCAGTTAACAGAAAAAGGAACCAAGAAATGTATGTCCCCAGCGTTGCTGCTGTGGCAGGTTGTTCTTGCTGCCAGCAGCGATGAATTCAGCACGATGCTGAGTTGCTTCTACGCCGTGCTCTGGGACTCATTGTCATCTTCCCCGATTACTGCGGTTTGTGATAAAATTTTTTAAGAAAATCAAGCATGAGATATAAAGACACGAAGACATTCTAGGTATTTCCAAAAGAGATTCGATTTCCCTGTGAAAGCAGAGGGTTAGTGGGGCTGTAGGCTGACTTACTTCGAAATTCTAGATCTTTAGCAGTTGCAAGTGAGTGCTATCAGGTGTTGAATAATAAAACTCAGTTATATCAGACTTAAGAGCGAACATCCTTGCTGCAGACAAGAACCTTGTTCGAATTATAATGCTGGTACATGGAAAAAGGCAACTATATGAAATATCTCATCTTCATTATAATCATTTTGTTTTGGAGTTTGACACTGCACTAAAGTAACTGCTTCACAAAGATATTGAGGAAAAATTATTTTTCAATCAGCAAAAATCCTTTCTCCTTCACCTAACTACACCCCAACCTACTCAGAACAAAAGAAAAACAAAACCCCTTAAAAACATGTACTTAAGCAAAAAAAAAAAAAGAATGACTTTCACATTAACATAAGACTACCCCATCTTCTCATAGATCCAGTTCTAGAACTGAAGGGGACCTCAGAGGTCATGGAGGGCACCTAGGTGGTGCCATAGTGCATAGAGCACCTAGCCTGGAGTCAGGAAGACCTGAGTTCAAATCTGCCCACGGTCACTTACTAACTGTGTGACAAGTCACTTCATCTTGTTTGTCTCAGTTTCCTTATTTGTAAAATAAATTGGAAAGGAAAATGGCAAATCACGCCATTATCTCTGCCAAGAAAACCCCAAATGGTCTCAAAGAGTCAAACCAGATATGAGTGAACAACAGCAACAACTCCCCCTTTGGACTGTAGGCTCCTTGAAGGCAGGGACTGAGTTCCTTTTTGTTACATACAATTACAATTGCTCTGTATACTACTTGCCATTCATCACACACCATGCTCAATCTCCCATCTCCAGATCTTTGCCCGGGCTGGGCCTCTTTCCTGGAATGCCTTCTCTCCCTACTTCTACCTCTTCAAGACCCTGGTTTCCTTCGAGACTCAGCTCAAATGCCACCTTCTTCAGGAGGCCTTCTCTGGTCTCCCCCAGCTACCTTCTCCAAGACAGGATTCCATTTACTCTGCATGTGTCTTGTCTATCTCACTGTCCATGGACATTCCATCTGGTGCTTTGTCTCTGGGGGCTTCATCAGCACGGAGGCCTCACAACCCAAATCTGACCCCCTCGGCTGGGAAGAAGCAACTTCAAAGCCCCCAACACCCAGGCAGGATCAGCTTTGCCACCCCATTTTTCTACCCCTTTCCTCCTCTTCTCCCCATCTCCTCTTCTTAAAAAAAAGCTCCTGCTAGAATGGGGCATGCATTTGTGGACACAGCCAATGTGGGAATTTGTTTTGCTTGACTATGGTTGTTTGGAGGCAATTATGTGTCAAAGTGGTTGGGACTCATAGTCAGAAAGACCTACTTTCAAATCCTGTCTCACTGGGCAAATCACTTAACTGCTCTGTGCTCAGTTTCCTCATCTGTAAAATGGGAGTAATAATAACACCTAACTTACTGGGCTGCTGTCAAGATCAAATGAGATAATATATGTAAAGTGTTTTACAATTCTTTAAAAGCTATATAAATGCTGTTTCTTATTTGTTGGAAGGGTTGTAGGGAGAAAAAATAAATGCTTGATCACTGAAAGTAAATTAAAATTTTTTTTTCCTTTTTGGTGAGGCAATTGGGGTTAAGTGACTTGCCCAGGGTCACACAGCTAGTGTCAAGTGTCTGAGGCTGGATTTGAACTCGGGTCTTCCTGACTCCAACGCCAGAGCTCTATCTACTTCACCATCTCGCTGCCCGAAGTAATTAATTTTTTAAAACCTCCTGTCTGTCTGTGTGCCCACACGCACACACATGTACACATGTATGCAGTCAAAGTCCACAGTGAAGCTGCATTATCACTTGCTATGCCAATTATATCTATTAAGGACCCATCTGGCTCTGTGCTTGTCAGTGGGATTTCAAAGCCAAGAAAAGAA